AAAAAGTCCCGATTTTTGGAAAGAATGCATGACAAGCTAGGGTATACGGTTTTCAGCTGCCATGTGCCTATTTCACCAGGATATGAGTTTTATCAATGGGGTCCCGCTTTTGTCCCGCTTTACCAATGTTAAAATCTGGTCACCTTAACCATATGTACAAATGTGCTTGACACAATGGATGGATAAATGGATAGTGATAAGAGCTGTACAAGCTCCCAATAAAATGATTTTTAAAGAAAGTTCAGGATCAGATAGTTTCATTGGGAATTCTACCAAATATTTAGATGAGAGTTAATATAAATTCTACATTTACTATTTCATAATATACAAATGGACAATAGACTTCCAAATTAATTTTATCCATTTTAACCCTGAGACCTAAGCCGGGCAAAGACATCACCAGAATTGAAAACTATAGACCAATATCTCTGATGAATAGAGTCGCCAAAATTTTCTTCCAGTTTTTTTTTTAGAAGCCAAATTTTTCAGTAAAACTGTAGCTATCAGAATTCAACAAAGCCTCAAGAAATAATACACCACGATCAAGTGGTATTCATGCCAAAGATGCAAAGATGATCTAATATTAGAAAATAATCAACATAATTCACCACATAAACTAAACAGGGGTAAGAAAAATATGATTAGATCAATTGATGCAGAAAAGGCATGTGATAAAAGTCAGCATCCGTTCTTGATGAAAATACTGAATAAAAGAGGAAAGAAGGGAGATTCCTCAACATAATCAAGGCTATACATGCAAAACCAACGGCCAGCTTCTCACTTAATGAAGAGAGTGTGAAAACTTAATTTAGTCCTAGAAGTCTTAGCCAGAGCTATGAGACAGCAAAATGATACTAAAGGCATCCACATTGGCATAGAAGCCACAAAACTCTCCTCATTTGCATGACATAATCCCATATGTAAAACCCCCCGAAGATTCAATTTAAAAATTGCTAGAACTAGTTGAAGAATTTTGCAGCACAGCAGGCTATATACGATTGACATAAAGAAATTAGTTAGATTCTTGTATATTAAAGAAGATTAAATAACAGATGATGATACTGAAAAAGGTATTAAAAGAACAATTCCATTTACAATAACTACACAAAAGATGAACTATTTAGGAATAAACCTTACCAGAGAAACAAGAGACTTATACAAGGAAAACTACAAAACTTTCCGACAAGAAACAAACAGACACTTACACAAATGGAACAAGCTGTCATGTTCCTCACAGCATTCTGAAAATGCCAATCTTACCAAAAATGCTTTACAAATTCAACACAAGTCTTCACAGAAATGGAAAAACCAACCACCAACTTTATATGGAAAGTAACGAACCCACTATAAACAAAACATTTATTAAAAATCAAAAACAAAGGAGGAGGCCTCTCACTCTCTGACTTTAAAACCTATTAGATGGCCATGGTCATCAAAACAGCTTGGTACTGGGACAACGATGGACACAAAGACCAATGGATTTGAACTGAGAACCCAGAAATCCAACCAAAGGCACCTCCCTGATGCTTGATAAAAGGCTAAAACACATTAAGTGGGGAAGAGATAGCACTTTCAATAAATGGTGCCATAAAAATTCAATCTTCACCTGGAAAAGAAAGAAACAGGGCTACACCTCATATCATGTACAAAAATGATAAAAGATGGATAAAAGATCTAAATATAAGCCCCAGAACACAAAAGACCATCAATTAAAAAAATAGGGATCCGTCCCCCCAAAAGGACAAACTTAAGGGTCCTGATACAAGGCATAAATATACTTCCAAACATAACGAAAAATATCCACACTGTAGAAGATAAAATAAAAGACTGGGATCTTCTAAAAATACATTTGCACATATCAGTAGACTTCATCAAAAGAGTGAAAAGAGAACCCACAGGTTGGGAAAATATATTTAGTAATGATACCTGGGATAAAGGGATACTTTCAAAGATCTATAGAAAACCACAACCCTTCAATAAGAAAAATACAAATCACCCAATTTTAAAATGTGGGCACGGCATGAACAGACAATTTCCTAAAGATGACATGCAGGTGTCCAGCAACCCTGTGAAGAAAGGTCATTAGCTGTGAGAGAAATATAAATGGAAAGAATGATGCGATACCACCTCACTCTGACTCTTCCTTTGCTTTTTTCTAACCAACAGTTCACCTCGACAGCTCAACTGGTTCAACTTACCCGATTCTGACTGAAAAATTAAAGTTGAACATACTTTCTGCTCCACGGATGCCCAACTGCTGTGCTCAGATCAGCTGCAGACGAGAGCAGATGCTCTCCGTGGATATTTAAACAAGGGGCATCAAGCTGCAAATAACAGGGGGTGAGGTATCGCTCTACCAACGTGATCCTGAAGCTAAAGCAATGGCTAACGAGAGGTGAAAGTGGTTCAGTCAAAGCAAAATCATGACAGCACCTTCTTTCTGAGGGGGATTCTCAAGGCTTTTTGACTTGCTGGAGGGCCAGAGAACGATTGCAGCCCTTTATATTGTGAGTGTTTTGAGAAAGTCAACACAAGCCTTCGGATAAAAACATCGGAGAGCGCTTCACTGGGTCCTCTCCACCATGACAATGCTGCTCATCCCTCTCGTCAAACAAGGGCAGTGTTGCCAGAAGTCCCAAGAGAAATCATTAGCCATTCACTTTAGAGTCCTGGCGTGGTTCCTTCTGACTGCTTCTTGTTCCTTAATCTTTAGAAATCTTTGAAGGGCACCCATTCCTATTCAGTTACTATTGAAAAGAAAAAGACTGCACTGATGTGGCTAAATTCCCAGGACCTCCCATTCTTTAGGGAGGAAGAACTGACTGTGATGGGTTACAAGAATGCCCTGCGTCCAGACTTCTCAGCCAGCATCCTGGTGAGAAGCACTGGGAAGAGTTCAGACCATGTGTAGTCCCCTTCCCAAGTCAAGCCAGAAGACTGGTCCCACAGTTAAACATACCTCCAGAGGAAAAGGAGACTCACGGCGAGTCCCACAATTCCAGCATCCCAGGCAGCTGCTCAACTGCGAAGGCTAAGGTGTCTGCAGGGCTCACAGATGTTACAGATACTAGAAAAATCATTGAGGAAGAGCCTTCCTGAATCCTTAAAGGTTTACGGGACCATATTCCACATGAGCCAGAGAAACCCTTTTAAACTAAAGGCGCTAGTGGACAAATGGCCAGATTATAATGCAGTGGTTGTCCGCCCGGAAGAACAGAATATGACAGATAACTTTGGTCACTACACCAACACTTACCAAATCTATTCTAAGGATCCATGGAACTGCCAGGAATTCCTTGGCATCTCAGAAGTCACCAACTGGAAACAGCATTTGCAGATTCGAAGCTCACATTCCAGTCTGGATGAAGTGATTCCAAATCTTGCGTCCACTAAATCCATTAAGGTCAAGAGAACACAACGCATTCTTTATATGATGCCGAAAACAGCGAGGACCTTGGTTCTCTCTCTGCTGCAGGCAAAAAACTTACCCCCTGAAATGAGAAGACCCAAACCCATTAATGAAGAGCTGTTTAAACACGCATCCCTGGACATCACCCACCCTGCCTTGGTGACTAGATTTTGGCATTTCTGTGGCAATGAGAGTAGCCAAAGATTGATTGAGCGCTGTATCCGGACCTTCCCCACCGCGTGCTTGCTGGGGCCTGAGGGAACCCCTGTGAGCTGGATGTGGATGGACCAGACTGGAGAACTGAGAACGGGAGCTACTGTTGTTCCCAAGCACCGGGCCCAGGGCCTCATATCCCATCTTCTCTATTTCCATATCCAGGCTCTGGACGAACTTGGCTTCCCCACATCTAACCATAGGGACAGAGCCAACAAGTTCATACAGAAAATGAGCGAAAGTCTGCAGCTTGTCCACCTGCCCTGTGACTGGAGCCAGTGGAACTGTGTGCCTGTGACACTGACCCTGACACCAGTCCGTGGAAAGGGGCCTGAGGACGTGACTGGAGGCGCAGACCGGTAAAGGGAGAGAAAGAACATTGTGATAAGAGGCGAAGCTAGTGGATACACTTTGGTGGCAGTAATATATTCGTATAATTAAATGTTTTGTTCTTGGCAAGTTGAAAAAAGAAAATGAAGCATGGAATGAACTTCACAGAACCTAACAGCCACAGGTTGACACATCAAAATCCTTCCATTCCGTTTTCTCAAGAACGTTTGAAAGGTGCGATTGTATGTCTTCTTATTCGTTCTCCTTTCTTACATAAAAGGCAGTCTGCGATAGATACACGCCACTCCGGGGCACAGTTGTTTCACATGGACTCTGCTAACCCAAGGGTCGTCAGCTCAAAACCACCAGCCAGCCGCACAGAACGAGATGAGGCTATCTGCTCTGAGGACCCCCAGAGGCAGCTCTACCCTGACTGACAGGTGGGGTCTCCGTGAGTCAGAATTGAGGCGATGGCAGTGTCTGGTCTCGTTTCTTCACACCACAGTGCATCTTCTCACTTCACAAACACTGGCCACCACTCCCACAGAGCCCTCCCACACTCTGCTGTTAGTTAACTGGAGGGTCAGTGGCTGGACCCACCAACCGCTCTATGAGTAGATGGGCTTTGTCCTATGGGATCACATTACCAGCACCCAAACCACCAGGGGAAAGGGCTGGTCTGCTTGAGGTGCCCATTATTCCTAACCCATCTCTAGACATCGCACTCAGGGTTCTTGGCATCCACAGTCTTGTGCGCAGGTATTTTTTGCTCTTTCCATCAGTCCCTTGCCATGGACACTTGATTCGTCCAGTATTTTTTGGAAGAAAAGGGACCTGATTCATTTTGCAATGGCATCCTCTCCACCCCCACCCCAGCCCACCTTACTTTCTCAGCCTCAGCCAATGTGGTCAGACTCTTGAGACTGGAGCTCTAGTGGAGTCGTGGTTACACATTGGGCTGCTAACCCTAAGGTCAGCAGTTCAAAACCAGCAGCTGCTCTGTAGGAGAAAGACGAGGCTTTCTAGACCTGTAAAGTTACGGTCTTGGAAACCCATAAGGGCCTTTCTACCCTGTCCTATCGGGTCAAGAGGAGCTGTTATTGCCTCAATGGCAGTGAGAAGTAAGGAGAGGGGGTTTCTTGTGCATTTTATTTTTAAGAGAATGTACAAAGCACAGGCCTAGTAACACTGTGGGTTTGGAGCCTACAGCCGATGCCTGAAGATGAACAGCTTTGGAAGCCCCCCTGGGGAAGCCGTTCTCTGTCCCACAGCGTCCCTACAGTGGAGTCCATTCCACAGCTCTCTGCTGGGTTCCCAGTTCTCCTTGAGTGAAGGCAGGTCTTTCATCTGACTCTAAGGGACACATTTTCTTTCTTTCTGTCTATCTGTGCCCCCTGATGTCCTGCTAGGCTCCAAACTACCTAGCGGATTGGTGGATTCTCTCTCTGCAGAGTTTGTGAGACCATGACTTTTACAGCCTCCTCATCTATGCAGGGTTTGAACCTCTGACCTTGAGGCTAGCTGCCCAACACCTCACCCACAGCACCACCAGGGTGAGTGGGATCCTATTTGTGAACACCGAAAAGAAAGTGGATTGGGCAAGAGCTGAGGCTGTAGCCCCTAGGCACGGGGAGGGGACGATTCTCCCTCATCCCAATTTTAAAGACTGTGAGCCTGTGAAACTCTAGGTTGATTTTATCTCATGTTTTCCTAGGCTACAGGCAGGAGACCAGGGCGAAGCTTATGTTAAACACTGGACTGCTAACTGAGGAGTTTCGGGTTCAAATCTATCAGCTGCTCAGCAGGATGAGGCTGTAAATGGTTGTTGTTTTGCAAATGTTTACAGTTTTGGAAACCTTACACAAGGTCTCTGTGAGTCGCTTTGAGGGATGCAGTGAGCAGAGGGGAGGCCACTCCCCAGGGGTCAAATCCAGTCTGAGACACTGCAGGGTGGTGTGGAGCGGCCTTGGGGAACTGGTTGGCAGGAAGAGGAGTCTTTGAGGACGTAGCAGCCCAGGGGCCGACACTGACCCTTGGGGAACGACAGGAAGCCCAGAAACTGCAGGGCCCAGAGCGCTGCCAGGGACCAAGTTGTACCTGATCCTCCAGAGCCTGCGAAGGGTCATCACGCTGGGAACTGGCATCCCACATCGAGGTCCTTTCTTTCCCAGGGCAGTGCAGCGATGCCTCTGCCTCTACTGCCCTCCTCTACACCCTCCCCCTGGCCACCAGAGAGGGACAGTGGCCGAGCAAGGCAAGCCCCACCTGCCCCTGGCACGTTTGCAGAAACAGAGCCAAAGTCACACCGGGCTGCCACCCACTCAGACTTTATTCAAAGGCTTGGAGGCACGTGCAGGGAGGGAGGAAGACTGGGGGCAACTCGACTCCATTCCAGGTTAACGGTACTTGGAGGTCAGCACAGTGCTCACAGAGCTGAGGAACTTGTCCAGGGAGGCGTGGGCGGCAGGGGTGAAATCGCCGCCCAGGTGGCAGGCCAGAGTCACCAGCAGGCAGTGGCTCAGGAGCTGAGGAGAGAGGGGAAGGTGAGGGGGTATCAGGAGACCCTCCCCTCCACAGACCTCAGCCCTGCCAGCCAAACACGCAGCCCCTGATGCCCCTGGTCTCCCCTTTCTCACCTTGAAGTTGACGGGGTCCACCCTCAGCTTGTAGGCGTGCAGGTCACTCAGCTTGGACAGGGCGCCGGGCAGGTCGTCCATGTGGCCGACGGCGAGGGTCAGCGCATCCGCCACCTTCTTGCCATGGGCCATGATGTCAGCGGAGCCCGGGGTCAGGTCCATGTGAGGGAAGTAGGTCTTGGTGGTGGGGAAGGAGAGGAAGGTCCTGTGGGGAGAAGCCGGGTGAGCACGGGTGGATGGGGGAGGGGGTCCACTGGACTCAGAGGGAGAGGGGCCTGGGTGGGTACCGGCCGCATCAGGGGGTGGGGGGGTGTTGGGCTCAGGTGCATGGAAGCAGGGGAGAGAGGGTCTTCACCTGTCCAGGGCTTCGCCGCCATATTTGCCCACATTGCCGCCGGCCTTCTCCCAGACGGCCTTCACGTTGGCCTTATCAGCAGCAGACAGCACCATGGTGAGATCTTTCTGAGTCTTGTGGAGGGTCAGAAGTGTGCCTGGACGGGGAGCGGGTGGCACTTTTATGCCTGGGCCCCGGGGCCACGCCTGCGTGGGCGGTGCTGATTGGCTGGCACAGAGCCCCTCAGGGGTGGGTACAGGAACCCTTGTTGTGGAAGAGGGGGTTGGGGATGGCCAAGGCCAGAGTTTCCAGGCTGCCCTCCTCTGTTTGGCACAAAAGGGGGCCCCTTCACAGTCCATGTAAACAGGGACCACTCAGGGAGTCCCATGGGGTGCTGCAGCCCCAGGCATCCCTGCTCAAACCTGGGGGCTGACTCCGGGGTTCCTGGAGCCTGAGACCCTCCCCAACCCCACAAAAGCCAGGGATGTTCCTGGCCAGTTTTCATTTTCCTCCTGGGGGATTCTTTCTGTGTGAAGAATAGATGGCAGCAGGGGGTCTGAGGAGGAGGTGGAGCTGACAGCAGGGGAGGGGTGGGGGCAGTCTGGTCCCACTGGATCTGGCAGACCTCTGCATTGCTGCCCTGTGCTCAAAGACCCAGGGAGGTGAGTCATCTCAGAACTTAGGGCTTAATCAAGTAGTGTCACAGTGTGCGGCTGCACTGAGCCCTCTTACATCGGCTCTTGGAGCCACAACGTGGGGCCCTTGGTTCGAGGTGGGGGTGTTTCCAGTCGCCTGGCCCCAGTGCGGAGGCGAAGACCTGGGCCTCCGGGGTGTGCACACAGATAGTCACTGCTGTAATTGCTTGCCTGTGAAGGGAAGCGCCTGCCCCAGGACCAGGATTGCACAAAGGGGACCCAGAGGGGGAGTGCGGGTGGGGGTGGGGAGCCACCACATGCCAGGACCATGGCGAGGGGCTGTGACTCCCACCTGGAGGAGCAATCCTGAGTCCTGGCACTTCCTAGACACTGAGCTAAGTGACAACCTGGGTGGTTTTGGGGGCGGGGGAGGAAAGAGGCCCAAAGGCACTGTGGACCTGGCCTCTGCTGCTCTGCCACCCTTGGAGGTCCTCAGGGGCAGAGATCACCCCAAAGTCTTCCTCAAAGTTAGGGTTGCATAGAATTGCATGCGTTCTGCCAAGTCCCCCATCCTATCCCCAAGTTACCCTCAACCCCTGACACCGCCCCCCCAAATAAGCCTCAGAGCACAGGACTGGACTTGTGTATCCTCATCCGTTTATTGGGGAGTCATTCAGGGAGGAACTGGGGGGCAGGCTCAGGGGCGGGAGTGGCCGCAGCCTGCCACAGCCCGGGGCTGGGGGGCCGCACTCAGCGGTACTTCTCGGTCAGCACGGAGGACACGATGGACAGGAACTTGTCCCAGGCAGAGTGGGCCTCGGCCGTGAAGTCCACGGGGAAGCGCGCGGCCAGGGTCACCAGCAGGCAGTGAGACAGGAGCTGGGGGCAGGGACTGGGCTCAGTGCCAGCGGGGGCGGGGCGGTTGGTTGGGGGCCAGGGAGGAGAGCCGAAGGGGTGGGCAAGGATCTTGTTCTTCTTCCTCCCTCCCCCCTCCTCTTCCCCGCCGCCCCCCCCATGCGCCCAGCGTCCCAGCTCTGCGCATGCACCTTGAAGTTGACGGGGTCCACGCGCAGGATGTAGGCATGCAGCTCGCTCAGCTTGGCCAGCGCCCCCGAGATGTTGTCGATGTGCTTGACCGCTTCGCCCACTGCGGCCACCACCTTGGAGCCGTGCGCGCGCAGCTGGGCGGAGCCCGGGTGCAGGTCGAAGTGTGGGAAGTAGGTCTTGGTCTGGGGGTAGCTGGTGAAGAGCCTGCAGGGACATGAGGGCACCCAGACCCAGTAATCAAGTTGTTATATCCAATACAATGTTAAAATATTAAATGAATGTAAAAAGTCCATGACGCACAAATTTAAGAAAAGTGAAAAATGAACATAGTCTTCCTGACACCTCTCCTCTTCCAGTCTCCAGTCACTGCCCAGTGCACACCAGTCCCTTCATTCACTGACCACCCATCCATTCACTCACTCACCTGTCATTAACAATGCTGGGGGAGGAGACACAGACAGCACCTCACCATCCCCTCCACTGACCTCCTCACTCATCTCCTCACTGACCCCTCTCTACTGGCTCCTCCCCCTGATACTCCCCCCTGGACCCTTCCTGTGACCCCTCCTCATGGCTTCCCGCCCTGACCCCCTCTCCTCACCCACAGCCCAGTGCCATGCCTGGCCGAGCTGCTCACCTCTCCAGGGTCTCGGTGCCGATGCTGTCGGCCTGCGTGGAGACCTTGCTCCACATGGACAAGACAATGGTCCTCTCGGTCTTGGTCAGAGACATGGTGGCGGCTTGGCGTCAGCACGTGGAGCTCAGGACTGGCTTGGATGCAGCTTGGTCCCCAGTCCTCTTATAGGGAACCAGGGCCTGAGAGAGAAGAGGGGGCTTTGGAGGTGGGGTCTCTTATCAGATCCTATGACAATGGGCAGTGGAGGTCTGGCAGGACTGGTGGGGTGAGGGGCTATCACTCCTGACACCCTCACTCCCTTTCGATGGGGGCGTTGGTCACGGCTTGACCACAAGTGGAGCGAGATAGGGGCCCAGGGCTAAGGTGGTTACCCCTGCAGCTGCAGCCAGCTCATAACTATTCAGAATCACACAATGCGAATGTGTGCAGCGGGGTCCCGCGTGGACCTCCCTGGCAGGAGCGTGACCCCCTGGCCAGCCCCACTCCCCTGCTCAGCGCTCCCAGTCTGTCCAGCAACATCAGCTCTGGGGTGGGGTGGGGGCAGAACCCACCCAGGAAGAAGGGCGAGCTCTCCTGGTGCCCTGGCCCGAGGATCCATGTCCTAGGGCAAGCTCTCAGAGTGACCAGCGCACCGCCCCCCAGCCTTTTTAAATAAGGCGCTCTTAGTGTTTTCCTTGCCTTTTCAATTTCTCTTTTTCACTAGGTTGCCTTTAGAAACACTGTGGTACAAATATATGTAACAAAACACTGTCATTTTAATATTTTTAACATGTATCATTCAATGACATAGTTAAGTAACTAATTTGTTCACCCATCCCCTCTACCCACGTATCCCCACCATCCTGAAAGAAACACACTGCTCTGGGCGCCTCCCTTGGCTCCCTGCTCACCTAGGTAACCGACAACGCATTTTGGCGTCCAGACAGTTACCAAGACCTCCAGCTTCGCAAGACCTCCTTAAAGTGTGGAAAAGGAAGGAGGTTACCTTGAGGGCTCAGGTGCACCTGGTCCAAGCCACGGCATTTCCCATCACCTGGTGTGCATGTGGAAATGACCTGAATAAGGACGGCTGAAGGAACATCGCTCCACTCGACATGTGGCGCTGGGGAAGGGTAGGGAAAGGGCCAGGGACGGCCCAAAGACAAACCCGTTATCCAACCAAAGGGTCCTTCGAGTCGAGGAGGGGGAGCTCTTGTCTCACATGCTTTGGACATGTTGTCAGGAGAGACCAGTCTCTGCCAAAGAACATCGTGCTGAGTAAAATAGAGGGGCAGCGGCGAGATGAGTGGGCATCGTGGCTGCAGCACAGAGCCCGACAATGAGGGCCATTGTGCAGGGGCACAGGACAGGGCAGTATTTCACTCTCGCTGTGAGTCAGAGCCCACTGATGGCACCTCCCAGCCACATCCTAGATATTTCATATCATGGGAATCATCTAATATCAGAGCCAACACGTTCTTCTATTTGATTTTTGACATACCGTAAGTTGACTTTTTAGACAGACAGATAGATGCCCACTCAGGTTCATTGCAACGCCATTTGTAATAGCAGGAAGATGGAACCAATGTAAATGGCCGGCCGTGGAAAAAGGGGACGGAGGCTCCGGTGCACACACACAGTGGAATACTAGGCACCCTTAGTGAACAGTCTGTGAAGCCCCACGTGGGATGGGGCCAATCGGAGGATCCGACGCCGAGTGAAATGAATCCAGAGCAGAAGGGTAAACATTAAATGAGACCACGGTTATTATTATTAGTTTTAAATCAAGAAAAGGCTTTCCTACCAAAAGAAACCGATTTTTATGGCTACCGGGGAAGTGGAGAATGGGGAAGTGATATTGCGTGAAGGGCAGATAATATTCAACAAGTGGGACCAAACAAGGAATCCAAGTAGGGAGGCCTGATGAGTGAAGAACACAAGACTGGTCCTCTGGTCTGCAGAGGCCCACCTAATTCACTATAAAGCCAGATGGGCACTTGAGAGGTCATCTGCAAGTCTCAAAGATGCCGCCCCAAGGAAAAAGTGGTACTGGAAAAGGGGGAGCAGGCTTGGAGCGACAGTGCTGACAAGAAGGTTCAGGGTCCCAAAGGTGGGGGCAATGCGATAAAGGTCAGGCACATTCTATGCGAAAAACATAGCAGGCTTTTGGAGCCTTGGAGAAATTGCAGTTTGGAATGAGATTCAATGAAGTAGCTGCACAATAGAGTGAAGATAAACCAGGCCAGGGGTGACTTGGGTTGGACCGTTTCAAGAAGCAGCGTTTGCCTAGCCTGCCTGTAAGCGGATTGGATAAACCTGTATATACAGACCCTCCTGTTAAGACAAAATTTGGTTATCGTATTATTATGATTGAAGGGAGAAAATAAAATCATGTGAAAATTGAATAAATGTTCTGTATTTGCATTTAAAAAATGGATGGGAAATTTTAAAAAAATCATTTTATTGGGGGCTCATACCAATCTTTTCACAACACACTCATCCACCCATTGTGTCAAGCACATGTAGATGGGAAACGAATGAACACACTGACTGGTTAGCGCGTGCTGCTGTACGAATTTCACACACACCATCAGGACATGAAACGCTTCTATGCCCCACGTGCACCCCTTTTCAGTCTCATCTGTCTACCCCAAACCTCTGGTAACCACTGATTTTCTTTCTCTTCCACTGTAGTTTTATCTTGTACAGGGAGCTCCAAAAAGTTGGTGGGGGTGGGGGAGGCGGGGAGAGGGGCGGGGCAGGGAGTGGAGTTGAAAGATTGAGCCTTTTCCATGAACTTTGTAAAGCTCCCTTGTATTTCTTCATCTTCTTTTTAAACCTTGTTATCCTTATTTGAGTGAATGCTCACGGAGCAAATGGATTTGCCATTCAATGATTCTTCCTTGTCTTGTTTCATGACAACGACTGCTGTCTTCACAAAGACACAATGTGTTGACCAGACCCTTACTGCCCCTGCAGTGCCCTTCACGCAAATGACTATGAGTCTGACAGGGACCGCCCCTCTGCTCCCTTCCCAGCCCTGGAGACCCTCAGATACTTTTTTTCCCCTTTTTTCCTGTGTGTAAACTTCTCTTTGGCTTTTTACAGTGGACTCAGACAAAATTTGTCCTTTTTTTTTAAACCATTTTATTGGGGGCTCATACAATTCTTATCACAGTCCATACACACATCAATTGTATAAAGCACATTTGTACATTCGTTACCCTCGTCATTCTCAAAACATTTGCTCTCCACGTAAGCCCCTGGCATCAGCTCCTCATTTTGCCCCCTCCCCACTCCCTCATGAACCCTTGATAATTTATAAATTATTATTTTGTCATATCGTACACGGTCCAACATCTCCCTTCACCCACTTTTCTGTTGTCCTTTCCGATTTGTCCTTTAGTGATGGAGTTATTTCCCTCGGGTTTGTCCTTCGGGTGTTTTTTTTCCGTGTGCCCCCCACCGTGCCCTTCAGTTTCATCGCTACTCTCCCCATCCCCGTGCCCCACTGGGTGTTCACACCATAGCTTGTGCATCCGTTCACCTACCCACAGGCCTCTGGCTGTTCCCATCTCTGCTGCAGTGCGTGGTGCTGCAACAAACACGGGTGCACATCTGTCTGGGTGTGCTGCTCCTGTCTCTTTAGAATAGAGACCTAGCAGTGGGATTGCTGAATCAAATGACATTCCCATTTCCAAATTTTTAAGGAAGCATCATCTCATTTTCCACACTGTTAGTACCGTTTAGGGTGTTGCTGCCAACAGTGTAGGAGAGTGCCCGTCTCTCCACACCCTCACCAGCGTGTATTGTGTTCTGTCCCATTGAACATAATTAATAAAACAGTTTTATTATTTTAAAAAAAG